TAAATAAGTAGTAATCTTGTATAATATATTTATTAAAAATTATTATTTTTTAATTTAAAATTAAAAATAAATAAATTTAAAGATATAATTATATATTTATAATTTAAATTATAAAATAAATTTTCATAAAGAAATAAAAAATATGTTTTTTCAGCTTACAAAATACTGACTATTGTAGTACCATTCTTTTTTTATTCATTGATTTATGAAGAATATCTTGATATTACACTTGGTTAGAAATCCGATGAAACTAATCATTAAAAAGGTACATTCAAAATGTTAAAAATATATATATATATCTTGATATTTTCATTTTTAGACTTTTTTTAATCTTGGATGAAAAATTAAGAATAATTTTCACTACATTTATTTAATTTTAATTTCTTCTTTTAGAGAAGACAATTGCGATTTCATTTTCAACTATACCTTTTTATCATAACTCATAGCATTAGTATTTAATAACAAAATGTACTGTCTATGAAAAACACTCATACTAGTGAAGTCTATATGAGCACATAACAACCAGACATATATCCATATCTACATGATAATTAAGCCCAAAACAAAACATTAGGTTGTATTGGGAGAACAAGGTTCAATTGTTCTACTACAGTCAACCTCCAACCAAGGAAACTACAACATAAAATTTTTCACTTTCGTAACAGATCAAAGAAGCAGTTCATTAGTGTCGAAAAGCTGCATAGGATTCAGGTCCGAACTCACATACGGGTTCGCTCCCTTGGGCTTCAATTGTTTCCCTGTCATTAAAACACAGGCTAGGGTAAATCAGTTGAAAATATTGTCGATGGATAAGTGTGACACAAATTATAACATTCACGTTTTGCTTTGTAAGTACGAATTGGAGAAAAGAAATAATTTATTAAGATAAAAATAAAATCTTGGAATGAAATACTACCGAAGGGCACATTCAAGCTCCTCATTTTTACGATCCAACTTCAAGCCAGCATGAAAGGCGGCAGCAGCTTTGTCAAATTCCTGGGATTATGTATCCTCATAATCAGGCCATGGAATAGAAAGTCTCAACATGAAATCAATGAGAAAATTCCAGAAATGAGCTTACTTTCAAAACCATCCATGCTGCTCCGACCCTAAGGTATGCCTTTGGCCAATTAGGCCTCCATTGGATGCAGGCATGAGCATCTACCATTGTAAGCTCTCCTTCATTCAACCGGGCCCAGCACAAGCGTCACTTGGATGACAGAATTGCATCAGTAGGATCATAACGGATAGCCTGCAATATCATCAAACCACCAAATCAACAAGCTGGCAGATTTTAACATAAGCTAGACTATTGCTAAGCTGAGCAACAAGTGTCAGATAAGTCATTAACCATGCCTTCTTGCACATACATGGTGCAAAGAATTTGCAAAAAGCACCAACAATAGTTGATATCGAACAGTTTACAAGCAAATCATAAAACTTCATGTAAGTAAAATGTAAAGAAGACCAAGAATTCAAGGACACCTAATCTTATTTGCATATATTATAATAGAGATAGCTTTTTCTAGTCTAACTCAAAGAGATACAAAAACTAAAGGATTAAACAGTAGCCTTGCACCTCTGAGTACTTCTGCGCTGCACCAAAATAGTCCTTTCTTTTGAAAGAATCCGCTTCTTTTGCCATTGAAAGAAAAGTATGCTCCTTCGACTTCTGTTTCCTCTGCAAGATATTTCAAGCACTATAACAAAAAGGCTCACAAATTAACAATAGCTAGGGGAAGGAACAGGAATGCTAACATTGGCATGGTTTTCTACCAGAACCTTAACAAAATCTTCCTTTCCATTCCCTGCTGCAACTTGCAATGGTGTGCCACAATCAGTCACGACGTCTATTTCAGCACCTTTTGTTATCAACATCCGTGTAAGTTTTCTATTTCCTGCAACAATCCAACCAAAATGGAAAATTTCACACTATATTGAAAATGGATGAAAATGGAAAATGCTGGTAACTCCAAATAGCCACAACAATTAGTGGGAAGAACAATCTGTTACTGAACCATTTAAATACTAATAAAACCTTCTAAGAAAAAAATTACATTTCCACAATTATCAATGTCTTTGAGAAGGGAAAAGGCCCTCTATTCTATAAATGCCCCAAGTCTCAACATGAAAAAAAGGAAGAAACCGTTCAAAGGGCTTGTATGCACCAAATGAAACAGAGTAAAGCTAAAGGGAAAAACAGCTCATCATCAGCCAATCCATTAGCGGAGATTTCTTCTCCAAACTAGACACACCCATTTCAAATTCTGTCTTTTTTCTTGCAAGGGTTCTTAGATAAACAATAAATTAGAGCTTCGAAGAAGTAAAGCAAGTTTTTTTTTTTTTTACCAAACTCAGCCGCATGGTGCAAGGAAGTTCACCTTCTTCGAGTTTCGGAGTTCGGGCTTGCTCCTCTCTCCAGTAGATACTTAGCCATGGGAATTCGCCGCAACATAATTGCAATGTGTAAAGCAGTGTGGCCGGCCTTTCGGTCCTTGATATCAATGTCAAATTTTCCTTTCTTAAAGAGGAATTTTATGACATTGTTTCTTCCTCCCATAGCCGCCATATGCAGAGTTGTAAGACCGTACTTATCCGAACACTAAAAAAAGCTTGGAGTGAATCCCCAGAAATTCGCTGGCCATACCTGAGTCAGCTAAATACAAAGGTTAAGCACCGCCGAGAAGAAACTCAAGAAATTGCAAACTGTTAGAAAAACAGAAAAGAAGAATAATTTGAAAAAATGTTTATTGCTTTCTTGAATCATAAATGTATGTAAAATGACCTATATATATTTGCAAAATATATATTTGCAAAAAAAATATTTTAAAATATAAAATATACAAAAAGAATATTTTAAAGTATAAAATATTTACAATAAGCTCCTAGCTATTTTCTCTTACCATCGTTGTTGGGTTTTTTAGAGTTGGATTTTCAATTCCATTTCAGATCTGAAACTTTGTCGTTGGATCTCTTCTCCTACAAATTGGATTGTTTATCCTTGATTCTCAAGCCCTTTCTGAGGTATTTTGTTGGTTTATTATTTCGATCTTGACATCTATTTCTTCATATTTTTAGAGTTTTTCAGTGTTGTGAGTTTACTGATTCTATGATGAGTTTTGAAAGAATTGTAACTCATCCTGCTACTGATATAGTTACCAAAGAAGTGATAGAACAACCTAATGTTAACATTGAATCCCTAAAACAGGTGATATTAAATCTTTTTAATACTCCTACTGCCTTATCTACTGCTCCGAGCACCAAACCTTGGTATTTCAATTTTGCTTGTTGTAACCATGTGTCTTCAATTATTGCTCATTTCTCTTCAATGTCACCTAATAATTCCTTTCCTATACTGATATTTATTCTGCTGATGGTTCCCCTATGAATGTTAGTCACATTGGCAATGTTTCTACAAAGTCATTGACTTTACCAAATGCCCTTTTAGTTCCAAAACTTAGTTATAATCTTCTATCTGTCAATCAATTATGTGATCTTAATCTTGAAATAACATTTTCTGCTTATGGTTGCTGTGTGCAGGACTCATGGACAGGACAACTTCTTGGAACTAATCGCAAGGTGAGGCATTTTTTTGAGCTCAACTATCTGCATATTTCTAATAATAAAATGGATTCACCATCATTCCAAATGATCAATTCATCCAAACCCTACTTTGTGTTGTTGAATTAGAGTCTTTGCAAATTCCATATCAACAAATCTTCCAAGACTGTGCTGCTACTAACATTTCTCCTCTCCATTTGTGGCACTCACGACTAAAACATACCTCAATTGTAAACTTCGTCCACTTATCTCTCGTGGTTTATTAGGATTAGTTCCGAATGAATCTGTGCATTGTGTGTCATGTCAATCTGCAAAGCAACCAACTTTATCTTTTTCAAGTAGTCATTCTCATTCTACTGCTCCTTTAAATTTCATGTATTCTGATGTTTGAGATCCATCTCCTACACTTACCATGGGGGATTCCAAGTACTTCATGTTATTTATTGATGATCATACTCGTTTTACCTAGATATATCTTATGAAAAGTCGCTCTGATACCATGTTAGAAAAACATAAAAGAAGAATAATTTGAAAAAAAGTTTATTACTTTTTTGAATCATATTATATGTACAATAATCTATATATAAGTGTTTACAAAGAGAATATTTTAAGATATAAAATATACAAAAAGAATATTAAAAAGTATAAAATATTTACAATAATTCTAAGCATAATTGTGTTCACATCTTAACACAAACAACTAAAAAGGGATTTTGTAATTACTCCTAAAGGGTTTCAGATCTCCCTGTACAGCAGCCATATCCAATCCCTGCATTCCTATCCCCAACACTGCATACCAAATCCGAAGCAAGAAACACACCGATTACATACGAAAACTGACAATGAAGGAAGGGAATTAAGTAGAGTGAAAATCAGAAACACCTTCACCCCCACGAAAGACCAGAAGGCATAGGCAGATTTTCGAGTTGACTAACGAGCTGGTTCAATGAAGGTTCCATTGTGCGGCGGCGAAGAAATGGAAGGAAAATGTAGGGCAGGGAAGCGGTGGGGTTTCAAGTATCTGGAGGAGACGGTGCAGAAATGGAAGGAATATATAGGGCAGGGCAGCGTCGTAAGGAGGGGGTTGGCTTTGGTGATGATGAAGATTATTATGAAAAACATGGCTTTTCTCTTCTTTTTTTTTTTTTGCGCTAATCAGGAACCTGGTTAAGGATGATTAGTTACAGGTTTTGTGTTAAAGTGTGAAGGAGGTAGGTGATTAATTAGGAATCATATTGAATCTCAGGGCTTGTGTTTTCTTCCAGCCCAAGATATTTTAGAGCTTTTAAAAGTTTTAATTTAAATATATCTTGGATGTTTTGCTTTAAGGTTTTTTTAAGTTTATAAAATTTTATACTTTTTAATTTTATAGAGTGGTGTTATTGTTACATTATAAATTTTTAATATCTTAATGTATTTTAAATTAAGTTTATATTTTTATTTACATTAAAATTAAAAGTAAATTAAAATTAAGAATATAATAATCAAAGTTTGAGTAGAATTTCCATTAGATTTTTAATTTATGAAATTAAAAATATTACCTAAAATAATTTGATAAATTGATTAAACAAAATTTATAAACAAAAATTAGATATCAAAACAAGTTAAGTTTAAAAAGAGTCAGACGGGATTTTAAGAATTCGGTATTTTGCCCATCCCCTGTTAAGAATGTACACTCTTCAAAAATAGAAGCAAAGCCAACACCAATAATCTATAGTTTGTAGAGAATAGATTAAGGCATGATGGCAGAAAAAAAACCCAACATCCAAGTTTCAACCAAAAGACTACAACATTATAAAGGTTTAGACGTGTAAACAACTCCCTTAATAGAACAGAGAAGGGTAGTGGCAAGCATGGAAGAAAATGAGCTATGTCATACTAAAAATGTCCAGAGGAGGAAGAAGGCAGTCCCTTTTGCTGGGCTTCAACAGCTTTCCTGCCATAAAAACACAAAAGCTTTGGGGTAAGACATTTAGTAAGAGATAGAGTCAAAAGCATGAAATCAAGATAGGAGAGAATATAATTTGAAAGTAATCCAAAGAATGCATCGATTGATGTTTGTCATAGAAGTTACCATTTCTGAGCAAAATTTAATTTGATGTTCATGGTACACCCACCTACTAGTGATTGCAAGCAGAAGCATATATTTATCAAAAAGAAATAATTGCAGAAAGGAAAAATTACTACCAAAAGGCTTGTTCAATTTCTTTATTTTCATGATCCAACTCCCAAGCCTTGCAAAAGGCGTCGGCCGCATTTGCAAAATCCTGTCTTTATTTATCATGAAACTGCGGACGGTTAGACCATAGAACAAAAACCTCAACATAAAAGTCAAAGAGAAAATTCAAGAAATTAGCTTACTTTCAATAACATCCATGCAGCACGTGCCCTATAGTGTGCCTTTGGCCAGTCAGGCCTAAGGCGAATACAAAATTCAGCTTGTTCTAATGCAAGTCCCCCCTTCATTTAAGAGAAGCCAACACAAGCTTCGGTTGCATAAAATAGTTGCATCTTTAGGACTGCAATAGAGCGTCTGCAATATTATCCAAAGAGTAAATCAATGTGCTGAAGCAGAAGAATTTAAGGATATAGAATATCATTCAAAATTTAATTTTGGAAGAAAGAAAGAGAAATCAAAGACAATTTTCTTATTCATAATAATGTCTATAGGAGATATATTTGAATAATTGAATTTGGAGAAACAAAAAAAATACAGCATTAAACAGAGGCATTTCACCTCAGTGTACAACTTTACTGCCCCAAAATAATCCTTCCTGTTGAGAGCCTCTGCTGCCTTTGATTTTGACAGCCAAAATTGCTCTTTCGACTTCCGCTTCCCCCGCAAGATTTTCCAAGCAGTCAAATAACACCATAGAAAAGTACATGTTGCAATCAGCTGTACCATAGCATCAGAAAACCTCATGTAAAACAA